TTGAATACCAGGTATGTACCCTGTAAGTACCTGTTGAATACCAGGTATGTACCCTGTAAATATCTGTTGAATACCTGGTATGTAACCTGTAAATATCTATTGAATACCAGGTATGTACCCTGTAAATACCTGTTGAATACCAGGTATGTAGTACCAATTGATTAGCAGGTATGTGCCCTGTAAGTACCTGTTGAATACCAGGTATGTACCCTGTAAATATCTGTTGAAAACCAGGTATGTACCCTGTAAATACCTGTTGAATACCAGGTATGTAGTACCAATTGATTAGCAGGTATGTGCCCTGTAAGTACCTGTTGAATACCAGGTATGTGCCCTGTAAATACCTGTTGATTACCAGGTATATAGCCAGTACCTATTGATTAGCAGGTAAGGACCAGTAAGTACCTGTTGAATACCAGGTATTTACCCAGTAGTATCAGTTGAATACCAGGTATGTACCCAGTAAGTACCTGTTGAATACCATGTATGTACCCAGTAAATATCCTGCAGAGCTGAAGCTGTATCATATGAGCTCCTCTGGATTTGGTTAACTGCTGGTACAGGAGATTATTTGGGTCAGAAGTGCACTTTTCCCTCAGCTCCATCTTTACCTCCATACCTGCTTTCAGAGGCCTAAGAAAAACGTGGGGTTTGAGTCGGAAGTCCTGAGGTTTCTGGCAGCAGCTCTTTCCCTCCACGTCCTGAGGGCCAGCAGAGCTGCTCTGTGGCTACAAGAAACGCAAAACAAGGTGTGCACTGTGAGCTAAATGCACGCCGAGGGCGGAGGCTCAGGTTCCCCCCGCAGCAGGTCTGCTACCACAGAGAGGCTCACTGTAAACAGGAGAAACCTGGAGGGGGGTGGAGGGGTGGGGGGTACGTTTTACAACAGCATTTCATCAATAAGACTAAACAAACCTTTCCAATGAGTCCACCCTGTTTTTACTTTGGCAAATCATATGGAATTGTTCAATTTGCTCTCGAGGAGCCAGATTCCTGCACACTGACATCGACACACATTAAATTTGGCGCGGCGGACGTTCAGACCACGTGAATTTGATTTGCGGTCACATTTATAACTCTGGAGTCATATCCCTCCTATAAAAGGAAGCAGTTAGTGAAAGTCTAACACATCTCTGGGGAAAATGTGCAGACACCTTTCAAACTTCTCAAAGTTCAAAAGGACTTTTAAAAAATGATGCTAAATTGTTCCCAGACCAAATACAGCACAAATGTCAGCTAACAGATGATGTTGATGCTTTCTTTGCATCAGTTCTCCAAAAGTCTTTGACTTGGAGTTGAACAGATGATCTCCTCTGCATTGTTGGCTAAATCAGCTTTAATAGATGGTCCTACCATGGGGGGGTAATATCACGTGGCAAACTTGTATTTTGATCCTCTTATAAGGATTATTTTGTTCTTAAACCCAGATAAAACTCCCGTACCACCAGTTGACCAACTGACTGGTTGATGAGGATTTCCACCCAAAATCTGTATCTTCTTAGTTGTAAGTAAAAGATAGGATTACTGCTGCAGTCGTCCCAACGGTGAGCGGTCAGGTCTTAGTGGTTGTGTCTAAGCTGGATTTAAAATGAACCGACCAGTCATCCTTTCCGGTGTGAGACTAAAGCGTCTACTGAAAGGAGAGGAGCGCAGACAGAAGAGTTCGTGCCATGGAAATAACGCTGAAGAGTTTACCGATGAAGGTGGTGAATATTCCATGGAGGAACAATAACCTCAGCAGTCTGCATGCAGACCCGCCTTTCTCTGAACAAGGGGAGACCATCATTGGAGTCTATTTGTTAGTGTTGGGTGAGTTGACCACTTATCCAGACTTCAAATAGACTTTTTGTCTAACAAACTCATATTTCCACCTGGTCTCTGCCAGCTAATAGAGTCAGATAATCCTTTTTGTATAACAGAGCCTTAAAAAGATGGCTTTTTGAGGCTTATTGTTGCTGTTATTCAACCACAGATTAAAATGATTTAAGTCTCAACATCCTTATTTAATCCATCACTGCAAGACAGAAACTACCATTCACAAAATTATCTTTGTTTCGTTTTAGTCAAAACTGTTATTCAGATATTTTCTAATAAGATAGTGTCAAATTATAGGGATTAATTYGATAATGATGAGACTGAAACAACAAATCAGTTTTGCAATAATGAGGCTCCAGGTTGTTGTTGTGTAAACAGAAGTAAACAAGAAAACCAAGTTTTTTATTAACTGCTGATGGATGGATGGAGGATGGATGGATGGATGGATTTATGGATAGATGGATGAATAGATGGATGGACAGTTGACCAGAGAGACAGAGATTATGGATGAATTGGATGGATGGATGGATGGATGGATGGATGGATGGATGGATGAAAAATAGACAGATAGATGGACAGATAGATAAATTAACGGGTGGATGACTTATGGACAGATAAATGGTTGAATAGATTGATTGAAGGATGGATGAAAAATAGACAGATGGATGAATGGATGGATGAAATGATGGATGGATGGATGGATGAAATGATGGATGGATGGATGTACAATAGACAGATAAATGATTGGATAGATTGATAGATGAATAGAAATGGACATATTGGTGAATAGATGGATGACTTATGGACAGATAAATAGTTGGATAGATTGATTAATGGATGGATGGATGAAAAATGGACAGATGGATGGATGGATGGATGGATGGATGGATGGATGGATGAATGAACAAACAATAGACAGATAAATGGTTGGATAGATTGATACATGAATTGAAATGGACATATTGATGAATAAATGGATGAAAAATGGACAGCTGGATGGACTACCTGCTCATCTCTACCTTCTCGTCTCTACCTGATCCTCCATCGCTTTCTTTCTTTTCAGGTTGGCTGTCATGGTTTGGAAACAGTTTGGTGATGTTTGTCCTGTACCGACAACGGACCTCGCTTCAACCAACGGACTTCTTTACATTAAATCTCGCCATCTCTGATGCCAGCATCTCTGTGTTCGGCTACTCCAGAGGAATCCTGGAAATATTCAACATATTCAAGGATGACGGGTATTTGATCACATGGATCTGGACCTGCCAGGTAAAAGCAAAACAAACAACAATTACAACTGACCATTTATATTCTAGAGAACAACTCAGAGCTGTTTRAAACGGTGTGAGGACTGATGAAAACATAGATTTTCTTTTTATTTTGAACAGAAACAATCAAGTACATTGGAAGACCGTGATGAAGTCTTACAGTAAAGTTAGAATGTGTGCGAGGGATTATGGTAGCAGCCATGTGGGCTTGAGGTTAAATCTATAATAAGATTACGATTGGTGAAACTCCTCTAGCAGAAAACCAACAACCAGACGGACAAACAATAAGATCTCAAACATGGATATCTCTTGTGAATTTGAATTGGCTGTTCTTATTCATATTTGTATCGTAAAGATTAATGATTTGTTGAGGAACGACTCGGAGAAACACAGTTTCTCTGTTTTTGTAGTCCCTCCCTGCCTCAGCTCAAAATGAAATAGCTGTCATTCTTTAGCTTGAAATTCAAACTGGGTATTTTTCTTGCTCAAGGCTAGCTTTAGGCAAAACTGTGCTATTCATACAAGAACTTTAAAAACAAAACAAGATGTTGGGCGCAGAACTTTTTTGGTTTTAGTATATCCCTCTTATTGTAACTTTCCATGAAAGAAGAGGTCGTTAAGAGTTCATAAAAGTGAAAAACGTTACAGTTTAAATAAAATAAGACGAGAGAAAACAAAAAGGTGAAGGAGACATGAGGAGCAGATTACTGCGCAGAGCATGATGTGACATGAACAGATCCAGCTTGGCCAGAAACGTGTGTTTTTCACCCAAGGACATTATCCGGTGTGGCTTAGCCCCAGTTAGAGCTTCCAGACGCAAACAAGCTGCAGGAGACACTTCGTCTGCGTATTCCTGCTTCTGTGATGTCACAAATAAACTCGAATGAGCAAAATTGATGAGTCTCAAACTAAATTATTTAAAGAAATAATCATACGCTGGTTCAAAACCTTGAGTTCTGCAACCTGAGCGAGGAAAAACACGACGACCGGCAACAACAGGATTAGGATAAAGGCAGATCAAGAAAGTAATCAGTGTATGACCCTAAATGAGCCGTGTCACCTGGACATGACCCAGCAGGGTGCTGGGTGTCACATACTTACAGATGAACTCAAACACGRTAACGTAATTCCACTTAAAGGGGACATGTCATTCAAACCACATTTTTAATGAATGCATTTGTTGTGTACTTTGAGTCTCTAGGAGTGCAGAAAGTTGAATTTAGTCTCTCCCGGTGATGTATGTCAAATTTTCCAATCTGTTCAGTTTTTTCTATTCCCTATTATTGAACATTAAAGGTCATGGACCTTTGGTTTAGCAATTTTGCGAATCTGACATTTTTATTTCTTGCAACAAAATCACCTTTTTTGATCTTTATATCATGTTATAATATAATTTCCTCATCAAAAACACACCCAGAGTGTTGCTCTGACTCGTTCATATTTGTTTGAGAAACCCTTGAATCTCCTGTGGTAGCTGCCAAAATGCTTGCTGATACAAAGCTCCGCCTATTTATGGAAAGCTCCTCCTTGTAGCTCAGTCTGCAGCCAAGCTCCCGCCCAAGAGAGTACCTGTACCCCGAAGCATTGTTATGAATACTGTATGTGCTGAAGTGGGARCGTCTGCAATGGTAGGAGGTTTCAGAATGGAACTACATGCCTGGAAAATACATAATGACCCGCATGACATGTCCCCTTTAAGAAAGCTTTAGGAAGATGTTTTTTTTAACAGACAACATTCAAAAAGTTACTTTGATATCTTATTTAGGAAGTCAACTTCCTAAAGAAGCTACCAAAGTCACAGCTAAGCAACCTTGTTTGATAAAAAAAAAGGAGGTTGTTTAAATAATTGCTTACAGAGATCTGATGAAGACACTAAAGATAAGACCTTATGGACAAACGGTTACCTCTCCGTCTCCTTCCAGGTAGACGGCTTCCTCACGCTGCTCTTTGGCCTCGTCAGCATCAACACCTTGACCGTTATCAGTGTCACCAGATACATCAAGGGATGCCACCCGCACAAAGGTCAGAGCGTTTCACGAGACGAAAGGGAGAAAGCACGCTTCATGCCTCCTCCACATTCCACCAGGTCTTATCTGACGGAAAACGAGTGTTTTCGTCTAATGAAACTCCATTACTAACTTCAGCTGTGGAAATAACCACCACTTGTCCCCAGCAATGCTGTTTATATTCCACCAACCTGTCATTAAGTCAATTTGAGGTGAAAWTTTTCTTTTTCTGGCGCAAAAACTGATGTCGAAGAATGTCCTAATTACGTGGAAATTAGGTCGAGTAACTGCCTCTGACTTTTATTTTTTTAGTGTTTGTGGTTATTTTTAAGTTTTATGAATGTGTGACAGTTGGTTATTTTATGTTGGACTGTGAACTGTAAGCATTAGCGGTAAATGTGGGAATCACAAACTGTATGTTTTGTCACAGGACAGTTGAAGCAAACAACCGGGGTGAGATAAAGAAATTTAAATAATGCAAGGTGCAAAAGAAAAGGGGGAAAAAAAMTAGTTAGGCTGGGTAGATGTTTTGGTAAAACATGCAACCAACCAATAGCAATGTACGAGCACGCGATGGGACATGGTGTTTTTTTTTCCTTTTGCGTTCCCACGAAATACTATTGCGTTACYTYGCAATACTGTTTTGCRTTCCCACGCAAAAGTTTGTTTTGTATTAAATGAATTAAATCAGACTTTTCTTTTGAAATATCCGGTTACCAAAACGTGTGTCGCCTCAAGTTCGTGAAATTGACATTGATGTTGCGTGGCTGCACTATGTTAAAATATCATACTTCCACGCGTCGCTGTGTGACATATTCATTCCGAAGATGAATTAAAGTAGTAGGCTAACTCGYTAATGGTGAACATGTGAGTTTGTTAATAAACCGGCAGGCACAACAGTGATAAATGACTTTTACAAGGTAACACAATACTATTGCGTGGGAACGCAACAAAAAAAACAAGCCCCATGTTTTCTCATGGGCTCCATAGATAAGTACCCAGAACATACTATGTAACTACTGGTTGGCACATGGAACCAAAAAGTTAGCTTCACTAGYCGCTATTCCGCTAAACAAAAATCTCAGCTCCATTTTTATAGAGAAAGCTAATGGTAACTGCTAAAACTGTTAGTGGRACTGTTGTTAGTTTGATTCTACTGGTTTAATTTGAAGGTGGGTGGGATTATTTTTGGTAAACCAAACCAGTTATAGCATTAACTTTTGCTACTTCTAGTTTTAACCCCTCCAGATAAAAGCATTTCTTTGGTCGAGAGTATACCGTTTGAAATTAGTCAAATAACAAAAACTTTCTCTACCATGTTTTATATGCAGTCAAATTTTATGTGTTGTAAATGTTATTTTATTTATTTTTGACGCTCTTAGCTTGACGTTCAGCTGCTAAAGATGTTACATGCTACACAAACTACCTGACACATCCAGCACTGCTTGTAGAAGGGGATAGTTTTTACTTTAATTTGAGATAAATGGAATAAAAATATAAGTTTTGCACTTATGAATGTTTTAGCGGACTTAAAATTAATGAAAGCCAATACAGTGGAAGCTAATTTGTCTRCTAACAGTTCCCAAAGTTTGCCAAAAAAGCTAATCCGCAAAATGAGAAGCAATTCTACTAATAGCGGATTAGTGGATTAGCAGAACTGTGCCCACCACTGCAGATAATTACCTGATATGTACCATGTTCATACTCTATACGTACCAGATTACTTACAAGGAATGTACCCGGTAAGTACCAGTACATGCCTTGACTTTACAGAGAACAAGTAAATAATTTATTGTTCATAATCTTTCTACAGATTTTCACTTGTAAAGATCAGATTTAAGGTACGATACAAATGAGATTGGCAGAAAAACAGAACAGTGTATTTTTCTTCCTCTGAACACAAAACTTTTCTTTTCAGCAGAGAAGTTCACAAAGGCTGTTAATGTAAGAAAAGACTCCTTTGTTYGACAAATGTCAGGACAAACATTCATAGCGAGTCGAGAATTTTGCATCTTTTCAAGCCTCTCACTGTTTCCGCTCTGCCTTTGCCAAAATCCCATCGTTTGACCTTCTGAACCAAAAGTCAATCCCACAATCAGATTCGTAACTCGGGGWTGTTAAATTGCGCTAACGTTGGTTTTCTCTTTTTGCAGCTCACTGCATCAGCATAAACACAGTCGGCATCGCACTAATCTTCATTTGGGCCGGAGCTGTGTTCTGGTCTGCTGCTCCTCTGCTGGGATGGGGCAGCTACACAGGTCTGTCTAACAGAAAACAATAATAAAATATTTATACTTTCTAATCATTAGTCTGCATTCTGACCTCTGCTTCTTATATTTTTAAGATCGAGGTTACGGCACCTGTGAGGTGGACTGGTCCAAAGCCAATTACTCTACGATTTACAAATCATACATAATCTCCATCCTCATCTTCTGCTTCTTCATCCCTGTTATGATCATGCTCTTCTCCTACATCTCTATTATCAAAACTGTGAAAAACACAAATGCCATGTCAGCTGACGGGTTCCTCTCTGATCGTCAAAGGAAAATGGAGAGAGACGTTACGAGGGTACGCCAGAAGTAGAATAATCAATTTTGTTTCCAAGAGTTTTATTGAAAAAGTAAAAAAAAAAAAAAGTTAAATGCATCTTACATTTTTTTTATTGGTAACTATAAAAACAGCATTTTCTGTGAAAATTAGTGTGAACACTAAATGTTGAAGGACTTAAGAAACTAAGTTGTTAAAGGTGAAATAAGTATACTAACTAAAAGCTAAAAGGTAAGCTAAGCTAACAACAATCAAAAATAATAAAAAGCAAACTAAAAGGTAAAATAGTAAAAAGTGTAGATAAAGTAGCAAAAGGCAAGCTAAAAGAACCAACTGCTATCTAAAAGCTAACAGAGCAAACGAATGGCAAAAGGCTAATCGAACGCAAAAACAACATAAAAGGTTAAAGAAGCTAATTAATTAATAGAAGTTTAAAGTTGCAAAATGCTCACTAAAAGCAACCAATGACTAAATAAAATCAAAAAACTACCAAAAAATAAATAAAAGCTAAAAGAAGCTCATTGGTAACTACAAGTTAAAGGTAACAAAAACACTTTCTAAAGGCACTAACTGCTAGTTAAAAGCTAACACAGCAAGAGTATGGCTGGATGTAGAAAACAAAGAGATAGAAGACAAGCAAAAGGCTAACAAAAAAAAACTAAAAAAATACCAAAAACAATAAATAAAAGCTAGAAAATGCTTTCTAAAGGCAAAAATATACCAAAACAACATAAAAAAGCTTAAAGAAGCAAATTAGCTTAAAGGAGCATATTGGGAGTTAAAAGCTGCAAAATGCTTGCTAAAAACAAAATGGCTAGTGAAATGTTATGTAAGTCTAGCAAAAACCTAAAGTAGCCGAAAGGTGCCTGAAAGCTAACAATACTTATTGATTAATTAATAGCTAAAAGTGGCAAAAGGCTAGAAAAAAATCTACAAAACTTGCAGAATTTTAATTAAAATTTAAAGAAAATAAGTAATTAAAAGGAAACATGTTTGTTTGTCCCAGATTTCAGTTGTAATCTGCACTGCTTTCATCATGGCCTGGTCACCGTACGCGGTGGTGTCCATGTGGTCGGCGTGGGGCTTCCACGTGCCGAGCGTCACCAGCATCTTCACTCGTCTCTTCGCCAAGTCCGCCAGCTTCTACAACCCGCTCATTTACTTCGGCATGAGCTCCAAGTTCCGCAGAGACGCTTCGGTGCTGCTGCCCTGCACGGCCGAGAGCAGGGAGGTGGTGCGTCTGCAACACTTCAAAAACATCAATCTCAAGGTCCAGAACACGGGCCCCCCCGGGTCACTTCCTGTCCAGAGGCCAGAGGTGAAATACGCAGCTGGAGAGGTGAACCGACCCAACGCTGACAGCAACCTGAGGGTCAAGAGTCCTCCTCGGACTCCTCCAGAGGTCTTCCACATTGATGTGCCATCGCACGTTGAGACCTCAGAGTACTGGTGTGACCGACTCTGAAGACTGATTCTGTTTTGTTTCAAACAAGTTAGAATTTTTTTTTGTCTTACCCATGTTTATTAAATTATTGTATAACTTGTCCTGATGCATTTCAGTAATCCAGGTAAAAAATCAAAAAGAAAAAAAATGTGTAGGTCTTCTGGACGGGTTCTTCTCTAATGAAACGTTTCGTCTCTCCTCCAAGAGACTTCTTCAGTCTGAGAGTTTCAGGCAAAATTCAGGCTTTTGAGTCCTGCCTCCATGTGACTGATACTCACATCACATGGCTATCGTTGACACCTAATTAACACCTATTGTTAACAGGGGGTGGAGTGATACTGGCAATAGCAGCACTGTAGGAGGGGGACAACTGAAAACGGAGGCCTCCACCTCTGTTTAATGATGGACGGTCTTTCTTCACAAAAATGGCTTCTTTTACTCCTCTCTCAAACCAACGTTCCTCTCTATCAAGAATGAGAACATCCTCATCTCTGAAAGAGTGACCGCTGGCCTGTAAATGAGTGAAAACTGCAGAGTTCTGGCCATTAGATGTAGCTCGTCTGTGTTGGGACATTCTTTTGARCAGTGGCTGCTTTGTTTCCCCGATGTATAACTGGTCGCAGTCCTCCTGGCACTTAACAACAGCTATTGTATAACTTATTTAATAATAATAAATCATATTCAGGAGCTCAGTTGCAACATTGTTGCCCACCTTAGAGGCAATACTGTTTGTGCACGTGTATGGGTGTGCTAAAGTCGGACACAAAGTCGCTAAATTTGTGAAAAGAGTTCAAGCGCTGAAACAGAATTGATCTCGAAACATTTATCTACTTAAATAAAGATGATTTCATCTCAAGCTAAAAAAAAGCTCTTTCTACCGAAATGTAGTGAGCACAGAAGCTGAAACTGAGATTTTAGGACTAAAAGAAGAAAACATTATCTAAAAGCTAAATTAAATGCTACCTACATTGACACGACATTTTCTGGTGTAAAACTACATCATCGAGATGATGCTGAATCAGCATTCACACATTTGGGATTTGTTTCTTTTTCGTATCAAACCCCAAAATGGAGGTTTGTCAGCGAGGCCTCCACACTGAGCCTCTGTATTATCAGGCTCATGGTGATTTCTCTGTTTAAACCAGAGCCTGGGACGTGAGGTTTAAAGCTCAGGATTTCCCAAATGGAAAATCAGACACATGTAGTATTGTGTGTCTGTCTGAGGGCAACAAAGTCTCCCTTCACACAGGACGAACATCACGGATCATTTTTTAAAATAAAAGTTTTTCTTTCCTTGTCACCAATCAGGGGAAACAGGGAGCGTTTGTACGCGTCGAGCTAAAAGGTCTGCCTGTCCTTTTCTGCACGTGGAACCGGCAGCGATACATTTTCTGTTTTAAATTTCCCCGTCGGTCACAGCTGTTAAAAGATACGAGATTTCAGCCAACGTGGTCAGGAGCTCCTACAGAGAGAATCTGTGGCAAATGTTTGTTCAGGGAGGTGTGTCAAGAGTCTGGCCTCTGTTGCATCTAAAATTGTAACTGACTGAGTCACAGGGGAGCTCGGCTGCATGTTCACACTCAAGAATTTGAGCTCTTTAGGGAAATGTTGGTAAACAGGAGTGAATATTTCATTWACAGCCATCCAAAGATGGCCAGTATGACTATTGTCCCATGTGTGTTTGTCTGTTCATTTTTAGCAAATTATCCCTCTGACTGATTAATGGTTCAACCTTGTTGTTTTGGTTCGGTTCTTCCATCCAGCTGAGCTTCATTAAAACTCACACTGAAAATATTGCAATATTTCATTTCCCAATACTGTATTGATGCTCTAAAGTCTTTAAAGCCTACTGTATCAACTTTTAATTGARGCTCAAAACTAACCGGCAGTTCATTTATGTTGTAATTTAGCCTCCGACCACTAGTTGGCAGCAGTCAGCTAGCCATTTGACTCCTCCGCTGCCAAAGAGTTAATGCTAGTTCAAACGATAGCATTGGGCCTCATGCAAGAACCATTTGTACGCACAGTACAAATGGGCCGTGCGCAGCGCCGTGGCTTCTGAATAAATGAAAATGATTTAACACAGTTGTTTATACTTTAAGCAGCTCTTTTTATTCCACAGCTGACCTGCTAAAAATGACAGATTTTCTTTTCTGGATCTCTGACAGACGGACTTCAATCTCTGAACTCGTAAAGTTCTTATTTTTTTAGTTTTTGCTGTCATTTTTCATGACTGGACACTTCCTTGTATCTGAGGCAGGAAACATATCCTTATATGG